ATACAAACGCACGGGAGAGTGGCAACACTTATAATGATTCGGAAAATTTACGCTTAACTATGAGAACCATCATGCAAGAAGAGCTACATGTTATAGTAAGGGAGGCAATTAGAAAAGAGTTCTCATCCTTGAGAAAAGAGATGCGCAGCTTTGAGGATTCTATAAGCTACATGAATGCCAAATTTGAGGATATGAAGACTAAAGTAGAAGCCTACATGCAAGATACCAAGCAACTCCGTACTGAAAGTGAATTGCTCCAACGCAAAGTTAAAGACCTAGAATCAAGATTGTCAGTAATGGGACAAGATTCCCGGCAGAATAACATAGAAATCCACTGCCTTCCAGAGCATAAACAAGAAAACCTGATTAATGCAATGATGCAAATTGGTAAAGTGATTTCCTCTATCTGAAACTGATGTTTTATCTTGTAATCGTGTACAAAAGCAAAACAAGACGTCGAATTTGCCTAAAACAGTTGCATGTAGACTCGTTAATAAGCTGAAACGCGACAATCTACTTGCAGCTGTATATAGGTACAACAGATCCCATCCCAATGAAAAGTTAAACACAAAACTACTAGGTTATGGTGACAAGGAGTCACCGGTCTACATCTCCGAGCATCTAAAATAAGCTAACAAATCACTCCAAGCAATAACAAGAATATGGGCCAAAGAACACAAATTCAAATATGTATGGGTGAGAAATGGAAAAATATTTCTAAGAAAGGACGATGAACACCCAGCAAAGTTGGTATTGCATCAGGATTTTTTTTAGTATTTAGTTTAATTAGTATTACATACTACTATTTCAAAAAGTGATTAGTGATTTTAGGATTAAAGTTAAATTTTTCCATTTATTATCAAAATATTCGCGGCATTGAAGTTAGTGTCAATGATTTTGATTTGATTGTACTAACGGAGACTTGGCTCAACGATAGTATATATGACAGCGAAATTTTTGACAACCGTTATCAGGATTTTAGGAGAGACAGATCATCAAATACTATTGTAATGGCTGCTGATGGTGGAGGTGTACTTATTGCCGTTAAGAAGTCCGTCCATGCACATAGAAATTACACTTTCGAAAGTCGCTGTGAGGATTTATGGATAACTTTAATTTTGGGCGCTACCAAGCTACACCTATGCTGTGTTTATTTACCATCCCCTCTTAAACGTACTCTTCTTGAGCAGTTTTTAGATAAATGTAGTAGCGTTATGGATAACTTGGATAATGACGTGCTTTTGTTTGGTGACTTTAACCAGCGAGATATTGTCTGGTCTCCCACTGCGGATGCATTTCTAAGACCTACTAATTATGACAGCACTATTGCCCGTGACCTTGTTGACTTTTTCTCTGCTTATGATCTGAGACAGTTCAACCATGTATTGAACCATCAACAAAAAATACTCGATTTAGTATTAAGTAATTCTAGATGTGGTATTATAGTGCAAGAGTCACAAAATATAATTTCTCGAATAGACTTATATCATCCCCCCTTTGCAAGTGCTTTTATCTGTGCGGGGGTCTCGACTACTGCCTCCCAAATTTATACCTGGGTACAACTTCTTTCTAGCAGATTATGGGATAATAAGAAATCGTTTGAACGAAGTGGACTGGAACTCAGAATTGGAATCATGTTTAAAAATAGATGACGCTGTATCTAAATTTTACAATATTTTAAATCAAATTATTGCTGAGTATGTGCCCATCCGGAAACGTAATATTAAGAAATATCCACTATAGTTTTCCTACAACCTCATTCGTTTGTTGCGTGAAAAGGAAAAAGCTCGCCAAAAGTAAAAAAAAATTTAAAATGGCTTAGATGAATTGGAATATAATATATTGAAAGAACGAACGTCGACCGTGATAAAAAAAATGCTACAGTAGTTAAAAAGAAAAAGTTGTCAGTCATGTTGTAAAAAATCCAAAATACTTTTGGGCTTATATTAAGAATAAACGTAAAGTAAGGAGTGACATACCATCAGTCATGAAATTCGGAGACAGATTTACTAGAGACGGTGACAGCATTACCAATCTTTTTGCAGACAATTTTGCTTTAGCGTATGAATCGGCTAGTGATGTTGTTTTGGTTGATAAAAGTATATCTCATGTAACTGTAACATTAGGTCAGATAAACATAACTAGTGATAGAATAGAAAAGTGTTTAAAAACTCTTGATTCCAGTAAAGGAGCAGGAAGCGACGGTATTCATCCAATATTTATCAAAAACTGTGCTACTAACTTAACAAGACCCTTGCATATCATTTACAATCGATCTCTTGTAGAAGGTTGTTTCCCCAAACTGTGGAAAGATGCTGTAATTATTCCAATCCATAAAGCGGGTGATAATAGCAATGTAAATAACTATAGACCCATTAGTATTCTCCCAGTTCTTGCCAAAGTTTTTGAATCATTAGTATGTCCTAGTTTATCGTGGCACATAAAGCAAACCGTGGCAGAGCAACCACATGGTTTTTTAAAGAAACGTTCTACAGCAACCAACCTTTTAACATTTGTGGATAGAATAATTACTAGTATCAGTTCGGGTAATGAAGTAGACGCAATCTATACAGACTTTAGTAAAGCGTTCGACAAGGTGAATCACGCATTATTAATACATAAACTTAACAACAATTTTGGTATTCATGGGCCACTTTTGAATTGGTTCTCATCTTACTTAAGTAGTCGTATGCAGCGAGTAGTAGTGAATGGTTTTACATCTAGGGATATTTACCCTGCCTCCTGAGTTCCACAAGGCTCCCACCTCGGGCTGAATCTGTTTGTTATGTTCATTCACGACATAAAACACAGTATTTTTAATTCTCAATTTGAACTTTACGCAGAAGATTTAAATCTATCCAAAACAGTTAATAACAGTGTCGATTAGATAAAACTTCAAGCGGACATAGACAGGGTTACGGAATGGTGGCGACTAAACTGTATGACTTTGAACATTAATAAATGTTGTCACATAAAATTTTCCCGAAAATTTAACAAATTTCCTAGCGCTTACAACATAAACGGAACTATGTTGAACAGAGTCGATCAGGTTAGAGATTTGGGTATTGCTCTCGATTCTGAAATGAAATTCAATAACCATATTAATAACACGGTTAGCATATGTTTCAGAATGTTAGCGTTTGTCTTAAGAAATTCAAAAGAATTCAAATCTGTTCAGGCAATGAAAGTTTTATATATCGCCTTCGTGCGTAGCCATGTGGATTATTGTAGTTCTGTTTGGTATCCATTTTATCAGAATAATGTTCACCTTATCGAAAAAATTAAAAAAAATTGTGAAAAGCATCTCTTTTATCAATGGTAGTTACCGCAGCCTCAGTAGTTATTCTGATAGGTTAAACAAATTAAATTTGCTATCACTAAGCAACGTAAGGAACAGCTGTCCATAATTTTTTTGTATAAGTTATTGAACCATGAAGTGGATTGTCCATCTCTCCTATCACAAATTAATATATTAGTTCCTAGAGTTACGGCTCGTCTGCATAATTATAAACCATCTTCTATTTGTACAATGTTAAAAAAAATTAACCTTTTATTTCAAAATGGTAATTTAGATACCTTCTGTGAAAAGATAGATACTTTTAAAAAATCGATTTTGGATTGTTGTAAGATTCATTTTTAGTTTTTTTTGTTTTTTAGTTTTGCCATTATTGTAAAATAAAATCCTTTTTATATTTTTACTAATTTAAAATGTTTAATTTGTAATCTGTAAAACAACGTCTTTATTATAATAAGAATGTTGTATGCACAACATTCTTTTTAATTTAAATGCATATGTAAAATGTATTTCTCCAAAGAGTGTGATATCATAAGTTCCGTTTATGTATTTAGTTGGTAAGCCTTATTAAATAAAAATAAAAAAAATAAAAAAATAAAAATAAGCAGGAAAACGTTGAGCTGATGAGCCATACTCCGTATAGTACTGACCTGAGCGATTTTTTTTACATTCCCTAGAATGAAAGATTTACTACGCGGTCAACGGTTTGAAGACCCCGAAGGAGCTGTGGAAGCGTACAAATCAGCCATTTTGTCAACATGAACTTCAGACTGGAATTACTGGTTAGCTTAAAATGCTTGGTTTGCACGAATGGAAAAGTGCATTAAGTTGAACGGAGAATACTTCGAAAAACAATAAAATACAATTTAGCTATACCGTGCATGTGGTTTTTCTTATACCCGATCTTTTCAGTGTGCCCCTCGTAACGAAAACAATGAAAAGGAGATTACAGTGATCATGGAGGATATTTTACAGATCAAAAAAGCAAAGGGCAAATAGACATATTGGATGTACAGAGGATAATGTATTTACGAGAATCCCGGAGGATAAAATTGAGATGTGTTTGACATGTATAGCTAAAATTCCGAAACAATTTGGATTGGCAAAAATGTTAAAAGCAGAAAGTATTAAAAACGTCACGATAATTAAGTACATAAATACATTTAAGGTATTGATTCATTTTAATAGCGAAGAAAGTGCTGAGTATTTTATACAGTGGAAGAGATTTAACGAGAATGGTTTTAAATGCCAAAAACTTTAGAAATTCGTCAATCATATTTGGTCATAAAAGATATTGATCTAGAAATGAGCGAAGAAGAGACATTACTAGGAATTAAAAGTAAAACTTTAATTTTAGCAGTAAAAAGACTAAAGCGAAAGAACACTTATGACGGTCATTGGGAACTTAGCGAGTCTGTAAGAATATGGTTTAAGGGATCGTCATTACCGTCGTATGTTTACATCTATGACACTAGGGTAAAAGTGAGTCCTTACACCTACCCAGTGACGCAATGCTCCCATTGTTGGTGATTTGGTCACTCTTGTCACTTTTGCACATTTGGGATAAAGTAATTTGTCCCAAATGTGCAAAAAGTCATCCTAACTGTAAAACGACAATTTTCAAATGTAATAACTGTATGGGAAACACATGGAAATGGCTAAAATTTGTCCTGTTTTCTTGAAAGAGAAACGAATTAGAGAATTCATGTCAGAATTTAACTATTCCTACAGAAAAGCCCTTATGCTGTATGTCCCACCGTCAATTCGACCACCAAATATGAAACATGACCCACCTCTACTTACACAACCTACATCTGAAAATGAATCATCACAACGAGATAAACATATTCCCGGGCCTAGTGATGGGTATACCTACGCCAGTGTTACAAAAGCACCCCCGGAAAAAAACGGGAAAAAGCTCTAAGTCAGAGAAACGATGAAATAGAAGAAGGGCCCCCAAAGAACAAGAACAAAATATACCTGAATTTTTAACCAAAGTTATTGAAGAAGAAAGCAGAATGGACGACAAGATAAGTGATGAGAGTCGATCGGAACATAAAGAGAAATTGTCTGGGAAATTATTTTTTTAAAAATTTATAGAAAAAATATTTGAAGAGGAAATTAGATCGTGGGAAGACGAGATAAAAGGCTGTGGAAATATAATATTGGAGGCGTTAATATCATTAGTGTTGCAGTTTATTGCAGATTAGCCTTGTTGCAATTTCATAAAACAATTATGGATAACAACAACTCACAAAACCATGTAAATGTGCTACAATGGAATGCGCAAAGCATTCAACCTAAATGAACAGAGTTAGATGTCCTGTTAAATCAAGAAAAAGTACACGTTGCTATTATAAGCGAAACTTGGTTAGACTCGGGTAGTTACTTTCACATTAGCCATTATAACGTCTTTAGAGGGGTTCATGCTGACGGATTTGGAGGCGTAGCTATATTGACTCACAGGTCAATTAATGCACAAAAACATAATGTTGAACTGCTAATTTCACAAATTGAGATCCTTCATATTAGAATTATAAATTGCAAACATATAGAAAATGTATACTCCTTATACTGCCCATCATGCACTCGTACCACTTTGAGAGACTGGGACCAAATCTTCAATGTTGCCAGACGAAAGACAATAATTGCAGGAGATCTTAATAGCCACCACACCAACTGGTCTACTAGAACGGACTCACGTGGTGATCACATTTTGTAGAACAAAAATCTGCTACTGACCTATCTCTAGTTTATCTGGATATAGCTTCGAAGTTCGACTGGATAGTACTAAATAAACATTTGGAAATTTAATGATTAATTTCCAAATTTTCATGCTATGGCTATAGTTCACGGCTAAGCCCTATGTCTTCAATGAATCGAAGGAGTTGCTTAGCCGTGAGCAATTTCACTTCTTCTGGGCGGAGTAGATAGTTTCTTGATATGATATGATATGAATTCCGAATTGCGAATTCCTATACGCGTGGAGCCAGCTACGGCACTGAAGCTGAGCTTCTTCTCCTCCGTTGCCAGCTTCACAGTCTTCCTGGGCTGGTCTTTGGGGGACTCTTCCTCAGATCGACTGCGTTTTTTCGCCTTCGGAACTAGGGGGAGGCTTGGGCAGAGGAATTTCGTCCTAAGGCTTCTGGCAGAGAGACAGGGCCTCTTCGGTTCCAATCTCAGCTGCTATTAGCCTTCGGTACCTTTTCCTCGCTGCCCCACTAAGCTTATAACGCCTAGCGAACTTTTTCTTTTCCCCTCCCTGGTTCGTTTCCCATTGTGGCTCGACTGCAAACGTGCCCTCCACTTCACGGCTCGTCCCAGGTTGGGGCGCACTGTTGCAGGGTGTTGGTGAGGCTAAAAGAGCCTCTTCCAAACCTACAGCTAATTCCATTTGAAACAGAAACAGAAACTTTTTTATTCAATGTAGATTATAACAATACTTATTGAAAGTCACTTTTTTAATTTACCACTATTTATACACATTAAAGGAGACTTCTCATTGTCTTTTAGAAAATGTCGGTTTTCATCCATTTTGTTCCTACGATTAGCTAGGGAAATACTTGGTCACCCCCGGCAGAGCCGCGCATGCCGAGGGAAGGGCTAAAATACTACCCGAATCGCCCTGGTCTCGGGTAGGCACCGTTTGCGACTGGACTCCCTCCAGCCACGCATCCATCGTCACGGTACGCTTGACACCTTGGATTGGGTTAGGAAAAAACTAATATTAGCACATCCAATATCTATAAAAGAAAACGCAATTTTAAAAAGGCTGACTGATTGCAATATAAGACTGATGTGATAGAGAGAAAACTTGAAGGCTTTATATTATCAGATGATCACCAGTCTGCGTACGATGCTTTTATTGATATTATTAACGAGGCAGCTGATATGTGTATCCCGTTTATAAAAATGTTTTAAAACCTTCTTATTTATTTATTTATTTGTATGGATCTCCAACAGTTTTACATATTACATTACTTCTAACACATGCTTTACATCTATAAATTACTATGTACTACCAATTATAGGAGAACACATCATTCTAAAACAATAGCAGTGTTTATAATTTGCCTATTTTAATGGTAGTTGGAACAAAAATAAGTTTTACGAACAAAAGAAAGTTATTAGTTGTTGTAACATAAATAAAAGTTAAGTTTAGCATCAAGTTAGTGAATAATTAATTTTCTAAACAGTCGTTACATTTTTTTCATAAAAAGTGAGAGTCCGTCACAACCAATATCCAGTGTTGCTATGTTTTTTACACATACATTGTATACGCGTAATATAGGAGTTATTGGAGAATTCTGTCCAAATTTCGTTCGAGTGCTGTCAGTCTTAAAGAAAGAACATGGGTTGCGAGGAGGTCTCCGAGGTAAATTAATATTAAATCTGCTTAACGGCTCACTGTCATCAATTTTACCATTAAAAAGTTTATAAAGAAAATTTCAAATCAAGATGAGATCTACGAACTGCAAGTGGTTTCATCCTAAAGTAATCGAGTTTATTTTTGTAGCACTCACTATGACTTGACGCCTTAAAACGAAAGATTAGGTGTGTTATGTTTAATGAGTCTTTTTTAACGCGTTCAATTCTTTCGATGTGGTTTTTGTAAGCGGGAGACCATACTCGACAACAATATTCAAGTTTGCTACGGACCAAGCTGTTGTACAGTTGAAGTATTGCTGTTACCTTTTTGAAATCTTTAGACTGTCTAAGAACAAAGCCGAGCAGCCGAAGAGAAGCAGTCGCTATCGAATTAATATGTTTATCGAATCTTAATTTGCTATCAAATATCACGCCCAGGTCTCGAATGGAATTGATTTCCTTCAGGTTTTTACCCAAAAACATTATAAGAACTCATTAATGGATTATTTTTTCTTGTGAATTTAATAAGACTACATTACAAGTCTATCAAGATTCTCTTGTAGTTTTAATACGTCAGATTCTTGCTTTATAACTTTAGCTATTTTTAAGTCGTTTGCGAACAAATAAACCTGACAATGTTTAAATACACTTACTATATCATTAATGAATAGTACAAAGAATAAAGGCCCTAAATTTGATCCCTGTGGAACACCAGAAATAGTATTTTTGAAAGAATACGAACACTCGCCATCAATTACTACTCTGGCATTACGATTAGAGAGATAGGATTTGCACCAGCTTAAAAATGTATCGGAAATGCCAAAATATGCGAGTTTTTTAAAAAGTATATTATGGTCCACCTTATCAAATGCCTTGGCAAAATCAGTATATATAACATCTACTTAAGGTTTTTGTTAACCGAATCAATAAGATTGAAAACATAATTGAGCAAATTAGTATTAGTAGACTTCTTAGGCATAAAACCACGTTGGCAGGGATATAAGTGATCTTTAACATGATTAAATATGAATGGGTGGACAAGTGATTCAAAAATCTTTGATACGGTAGAGAGGATTGATATAGGTCGATAATTAGAAACAAGTTCTTTTTTTCTATCTTTGTAAATAGGTACTATTCTTGCTTTTTTCCACTTATCGGGAAAACTACCTGTCTTAAGTGAAGTGTTATAAATGAGTTGTAAGGGGTAGGATATTGAATTTGTACACTTACTTAAGAATATAGGGGGCACATTGTCAGGTCCAGCATTCTGTTTTATATCAAGTCTTTTTATTTTGTTTATAATGCTTTTTTGGGATAGTTACAGCGATATGCTGGCTTTAGTACTCGTTCATTGTAATAAACAAAAAGTAACAGTTCAACAACAAAACAAAAACGTAACAAAGTCTAACAACAAACAATAATTATGTACAGTAAGTAGATTTACTTAAAACCAGGAATGTTATCACAACGCGGAGCCAGGGACGACTGCTCGACGGCACAAGCGCACACTGCACCCTTTTTACCTGGAGACAGCCGTTATTCTGTCTCGCTCGCACTGTTGTGCACAGCGTTTTTTACCTGCTCACACAAAGGATGCTATTGTGCTTGCTTACGATTCCTTGAATTATTGAAGAATTTTATCTTACTCACTGGAATGGGTGTTTAGTTATCTAATATCGGGGTAGAGGTACTTTGAACAGTTACATTCAAATTATCATAGCTCCTAAACTATCTAACTCAGAGTTAAGATTTAAATGTGAATTTATAGCAAATATTCCTGTATTATAATAAAAACAAGTAAAAAAAATTGGTTAACACGATGGTTTTTTTTTAAAGCTAAGAATCTGAAAAACAACATCAATTTGTTGTCTAATTTATTTTTTCAAAAATGTTTTTTACTAATACTGAAAAATTAAAAAATAATATTTTGAATCTAGATTTATTGTCTACATATTAACTAAATTTTTTTGTTTTTGAAAGTCTTCTACTTGGGGAGATATTTAAATTAATACAAGCATCCATGCTTCGCCAACAATTTTTTTTAAAGTGCTGCCATTTTTTTATTGATGGCGAAAAAAAATCATTGATCCCTGATTTGTCGATAAAATTAATTGTATTTTAACCCCTTAAAGTATCGGACATCGGAAACCGGACACATTGTATATTGGACATTTCAGGAAGCTGTTACTGCGAGTCGAGCAAATATAGTGAGTTAGTTGTTATTTGTTGGGGTGTTATAGACAATTGAAAAATGCGTTGCAAATAAGTTACAGGATTCTTTTAGTTCGTTTGATTATTCGTCTCCTAAATACATTGATGGTGGGTATCCAGACGAGTTTTTACGTTTGTTAGAAATGTGTGTCCAAAAATATTTTGAATTTCTACCTATTTCGTGTTCTAGAGTAGATATGTAATTGTCATAACATGTTTCTGTAAGTAGTTCATAGTCGTTACGGAGGTTTTGAAATTCTAGTAGGTCTAGGGAATTATTATAGATCTTGTATCTTCTATGAAACTTCTTTTTTTGCTTTAATAGATATATCAAATAGGAGTTGT